AAGAAAATAATAGTAACAGTTATTTACAGTCACTAAATCTACGTCTTTTACATTCTGTTAGATTTGCCGTAACTATATTTATATACATTTTTTGTCTTTGGACCTTCCTGGAGAATTAATATCGGTGTTTTTAATATTTCTTGCATACTTTCAGTTAGGACAGTGCCTCCTAAGAACATCCTTAAAGTACTGTTAGTTATATATTCAAATTAATAAAGAGAAATTTATATTTTTAGACTCTTCAATACTAATTTAATTGTACTTACTACTTTTTACAGTGTCAAGTAATAAATATAATACAAATTCCAGAACGTAGTTGTCAGGAAATGCTACATTTAATATTTCTTACGCCGATGGCAGAGTGTTTGGGTACTTATGTAATGATAACGTAATCGTAAGTCATCGTCAAGTAAATGATATTTAATTCTAATCACAGTCATAATCTACAAAAATTTTTTAAAAAGCACATGTTGCTATTATTCTCCGATGAATAACACACGTGATAATATTTTATTAATAATATCAACGTTTCGTAGGTTGCTGGCCTTAAGGTTGTATTCCAATCATTCGGAGAAGCTGTAAACTATTGGGGAAAAGTTTCCACCGTTAAAGAATTCGACGGCATCCTGGGTATGGGTCGTTATCCAAAACTGGGACTTCTGTTTTCCAAAACATGATTTATCAACGCATGCATGATGTCCCGACCCGTTTTTAGTTTCTATCTAAATCGGTATGTATCTTTCTGGATGCTCCACATGTATTTAAAACTATTTTTTAAATTACGTACCTTGTCTTTCCACGCAATGTAATATGTGTAATATGTACAATGTGAAATATATACGACCTATACAGAAATCTCTCAGTCGCGATGGGTGTGGTGAACTGATGTTGGGTGGTTCCGATCGCCCTCATTATAACGGCGAGTTTACGTATGTTAATGTTACCTACAAACTACGCTGGAAAATTACCTGGAAAACGCTGGATAAGTACGTATAGTTTTTTCTAAATTACATGTACGTCAACCATGGATCATACGCCAGCTAATTGGTAATGCTATCGCACTGTAGGGTTCAAATAAGAGATCACATCTTATGCGCGAACGGCTGTCGAACTATCGTCGACACGGGCGCCTCATTGATATCTGGACCACCATTGGATATCACTGTTATTTGGAGAGAGATTGGTGTTAAAATAGTTAAAAATGTTGGAATAGTAAATAATAGATCATATTTTTCTGCAATGGCAGTTATCAACTACCTTAATAGTTATTTGTGTAACAAGTGAGGTAAGATGAAAATTCCCGGGTGCGGAGTTTATGCACGAGCCGAAGGCGAGTGCGGTAACCGCACCCAGGAATTTTCATCTTTACACACGGCTTACACTCCCTATTTTATGTTGCAAGTGCCTGGAAAGTGGTTTATCACGCACGCATAGCGTGCGTAATGGGGCACGTTCCATGCACGTGTTGCATAAATAAATTATTGAAATAAATTAATAAATGTTTGATATATTACGGATTATTAATATAGATTACTAACATTAATCTTCGTTTAAAGGTAAACAGCGATTAGATTTCTAAATTGCCCGATATCAATTTCGTTCTAGGCGGTAAGACGTTCAGACTTGTGGTAAAGATTACATTTTGAAGATAAAGAATATTGTTGCATAAAGGTTTAAATTGTTTTAAAATAGAAATATCATGCTATTTTTAATATTTCATATTTTAATATATAATATTTCATTATTTAATATTTCATAGTCATATGCAAGTAATATAACATGAGAACAAATAAATATTTTATCATAGAAACAGAAAAGCTTTTTATATCGATTTCATATAAATTAGTCTTAATCAATTATGTAAGAGATTTATATCAAGTAATATAACATTTTATAAGATCTGAGAAGATAATTAAAGTGAGAAAATCAGTAACAAAACAAATTAATTGATGATTACTTGCAGCAATAACGATCTCTCATATACAATATTGTATTTATTTACTACATTCACTTTACAATATCGTACAAATTATGTTGTTACATCACTTATTAATTGCCATAATTATTACAAAATTATTAATTTGTTAATTGCATGTAGAGAATGTATATATTAATAAATTAATTTTATAAATCTTATGATTAATATTAGCAAATTTAATTCTGAGTTCATGAGGTATAATATTAATTATAAAGAGCGATTGCTAATGTTAGAATAGACCCGCACATTAAAATTTTTAATTATTTATAAAGTATTATTAGTTTAAAACGATTAATTCTTCGTCGATTAATACAAAAAATAAAGGTATTAGATAACAGAGATAAGGAGAATATGTAGGTATATCATATATTATGATCAATTAATATAATC